ATCTCATTCCTCTCAAATCCAAAATTTTCAAGGTATTTTTCTAAAAACCTCTATTTTATCATATTCTAATCTTAGGACTTGTTTCAATTAGTTCTAGGATGAACATTTTATCAGGCATTGATTGTTTGATGATTACAAACTAGATTTTACAACCAATTTCATCAAAACCTCACAAATTATGGTTTAGATGATTGGATTTGGAACTTAATATATATATATATATATATTTGGTTTGGTTGAATTTTCTTACTTTTGCATCATTAGATATATATGACCAATTATGTCATTTCACATTTGTTTATGAATATTGGTTATGGAACTAATGGGTAATCTCTCTTTTGATTGTGATCTTAGCAGCTTAAGTTATATATATATATATATTTAAAATCAATTGGCTATGCTTTTCAAAACCTTGTTTAAAACATTTTAATGTCCTTTTGATTAAACAAAAAGGGGAGAAGTGTAAAAGTGTTAAAGGGGAGAATTGTTGTAGTAAGGGGGAAGAAGTGTTGTAGTAAGGGGGAGTAATTTTTCAAAATTGATTTCAAAATTTTAGAAAATCTTAAAATAACACAAATGTTTTGTTATATCAAAAAGGGGGAGATTGTTGAAAACATTTTTGTGTTTCGATATAACAAATTAAGTTTAAATGAATTTTAAGATTTTACAAATGATTTTCTAAGTATATTAGATTTAATTAATCAAATATAAAATTATTACTCCAAGTCTTTCAAGTTCAAATTCAAACCTTACTAAATGTGTAAAATTGTGTTTTATACTTAAACTATTTTTGAAACAATTTTCATAAAGTATTTTGAACCAAAATCAAGCCTAAATCAATTTATCAAAGTGATGCACCGATGCACCAATCCATGTATCGATGCACCATGAATTAAATTGAACATCGAATGCATTTCATGTATCGATGCACATACCATGCATCGATGCACTGAGGATTTTATGAAAACATTGAATGCATTTGATGCATCGATGCACCAACCATGCATCGATGCACCAACCATGCATTGATGCACTCTGGCTATTTTGAAACATCGAATGCACTTGATGCAAAATATTTGAATTTTACACTGATGCACCAATGCACCATGGGTATGCATCGATGCACTGACGCTCCCAACTGCTTTAATTAATTGTTTTCACACTTAAACAACTCTATTGACTCCACTAAGCATCCAAAACGTTCAAAATCATTTGAAGGTGCATTTAAACAAGCTTAGAAGCCATTGATCAATAACAAGAAACAACAATAAACAAGAATCAAGAGAGAATCAAAGAGAAAGCATCAAACCTCAAGTTTGAGCATTTCAAGCCTATTTTCCATTCAATATTCATTTTACTTTCAAGAACACTACTTGTACTCAATTGTATTCATTTTTTAGTGTTTTTTTCTTTGTTCTAGAATTGTGCAAACAATCTACCTTGTGAGGATTTTCTTGTAAGTTTGCAAATTTGTAATCTTCTCTTTGAGAAAGAGTGTTCTCAAGAATTGGGGTATATTCTTGAGGGAGTTGTAAGGTTATCTATTTGGCCTCAAAAGAAAGAACAAATTAGTGAATTTGTTGGAAAATCCTTATTGTGGATAGCTAAGGTAGTGGACGTAGACTTTGATTGAGAAAGTCGAACCACTCTAAATCGTTGTGCAATTACTTTCAATTTTTTGCAAAAGCTTCAACCAAAATTTTAATTGCCAATTCACCCCCTCTTGGCCGATTCCGTCGATCGAAACTGGTATGGAGGATAAAAATTCCAACCCAATTTGATTGAGTCTCCGTTAAAGCATGATATGGAGGATAAAAACCAAAACTGGTATGAGATGTAAAATAATTGGTAGAAGCAGAAGTAGAAGCAGAAGACAAAGAAGAAGATGTTGATGATGGTTTCTTGACCTTTGTGAATTCGGTCTTTCCTTATTCTCATTCTTCTCTCTCTTTCGATGTCATTAAATATGGTTTTCTATTTGCTTCATAATTTCAGAGGTAGGGAGAAATGTCGAAATCAAGATCGGCGATGTAATCTCGTAACACATAGGGACCGGTAAATTCCATTACTCAATGTTGACAGCATGCTTCCTCGGCCAATTGTCTTTATGCTTCCCACGTGTATCAATTCTATGGAGCGCATCCATATCAAATGGCGTGCATTACAACAATCGTAAAGTGTAGTAAAGGCGTAACGACAAACCATAATTGTGACCCTTCAAAAAATCCTGGTGGTAGTTACTGGTAGATCTCATCGTCATAATAAGGGATCCAAGAAAACTGTAAACATTAATAATAAAAGTTAGTATAAATAAAGTGAAAATTTTAATTAAATTTTAGTAATTTAAAAAATTAATATTTACCTTATGTCGACCGACAATATCGATTCTCATTCGTATATATTTTTAGTTTCACCTGACAACTTGATCTCGGTAATTTTATTGTCGCAATCTAAATAATATAAAAATTAAAAAAAATCCTAAAAAATAAATTTAAAAACTTATTAGAAAAATAATGTAAAAAAATTACCCTACAGCGAGAGGAAACTTAACCATGACTGCTATAATTGGCGTAAAAAAGGGGAATTGGTACCACACTTACGATTGTAGCAGGACTAGACAACCTTCTAAATATGTTTTTTTAACTTCGTTCGACGATTATAGCCTTGCAAAGTTCCCGGTATAAAAAAGTCAAAATCGTCAAGCCCCAACTATTGTTGCGACACTCAATAAAACTCTCCAATATAGAAAGATATTAAATGTGCGTCAAATTACCATATTTATTCGTTAACAATTTCCCTCTAATCAATTGTAGCAAATACGCTCTGGCTGCAAAAATCACCTTATCCTTGGTAGAGTCGTTTGTCACACTAAATTCAGACTCCAATCAAGTGAAACATATCCAATATCCCTCTAAGAACTCTGATGGTGGCATCTTTTCCAAAACTTGGTTAACAATTTCGAATCGGTCGAAACTGTTGTGCCTCACTACCGCCGCACCATTAATCGAGGCACCGAGTTGGTAAGTGATATCTTCCAACGTAATTGTCGCTTCACCACTTGAAAAATGGAAAATATGCGTCTTTGGGCTCCAATGTTCAATCAGAGCCATAATCAATTTCAGGTTCACCTTAAAAACACGTAGAAATGTCGTTGGATACAACCCTGATTATTGCAATTATATAACAATCTATTGATGTGGATCTCTAGGAGTCACTCCTTGTTGACGAATGTCCCATTCTTCTTCTGGAACGAGCTCGAGCCAAGAAATAAGGACAACATCGAGGTGTAACATTTCATTGTAGGTAGACATTTTTCAATATTTTTCAAAATATTTGAATTTCTCTCAATTTTTTTCTTAACAAAACACAATAAAAAACTAAACCCCAAACCTATATTTACTACCCCAAACCCAACGCCATAAATAGTTAGTTTTTCAAAAATTCCATCAAACTCGTCACCTCGAGGTGACGAGTTTCATACTGACCGTTGCAGCTGCCCGTTGTACAACGACTATGAACGACTAGTTTTTTTTTCAAATTCAAGACAAACTCTTCACCTCGACGTGGTGAGTTAGTTTATTGTTTAAAATCTTTCTTTAAAATATTTGTTGAATTTAAAAAATAAATTCTCATTGGACTCATCATGTCGTTGTGATGAGTCATAGTTAATATATTAAAATATTGGTTCACATGGACCCCGTATACTTGGGACCAATAGAAAATATTTTCAAGCAAACTTGTCACGTTAAGGCGACGAGTTTGCTATTTACTGTAGTAAATGTCGTAGATTGCAAATTAAATTATATGTTGGCTTATTAGGCCAAATAATTTACCTTCATGGGGTATTGGACCAAAAAAAAACCTACAAATCACTCCTCTTTGCCCAAAACTGGACACTTTTAACAAACTTGGTTTTTTAAGGGTAAAATACACAAATGATTCCCAATAATAGAGAGATATTTTATTGAGTTCCGTTACTATTAAAAGTTATACAATGATCTTTCAATTATAGGGTATTATTTTGTTGAATCTCTCTATTATTAAAAGTTACAAAATAATTACTCAACAATTAAAATGTTTCAAACTTGTCCTTTATTGTTAATAAATTGATGATTATCTGAGTTAAATGTTATCTGTTAAATGAGATATGATAAACTCATATTTTAATGGTGTCATACTAGTACTATCGTGCTTTTCAAGCACTGGATCAACAACATAATGTAAATAGGCTGTCGATACACAAAACATAACTCAAACAGTACTCGAATGAGATTTTATTATATCTCAGTCAACAAGTTAACATCCAACTCAGATGACCATCAATTTTTTTACAAAAAAGGACGAGTTTGAAACATATGAATATTTGGGTGACCATTTTGTAACTTTTAATAGCAAGTGACTCAAAAAATACTACTCTATAATCAATAGATCATCTTATAACTTTCAATAGTTGGAGGACTCAACAAAGTATCACCCTATACTTTACCCTTTTCTAACATTATTAAGGCCACATAATTTTTTTTAAAAAATAATTAATTAAAAAAAATCACAAAAACTACTATAAAATATATAAAGAGTAAAATATATAAATGAATACTTTTGTTTTAGTCTTTGTTTATTTTTTTCTCATCAATATTTTTAAAAATTATATTTTGATCATTGAAAAAATTATTTTTTGTTAGTTTAACGGGTGGCTGATTAGCAAACTGTATTCTTTTCTATAAAGAAGTTAATCTACGAACTTTTGAAAGTTCATTTTCACCTATTCAACAAAAATAGTTTCTCAATCTCTCACTTCTAAAAAAAAATATCCCTCTCCTTTAATTCAAACCCTGAACTCCAATGTTTGCATGTTTTCAATTTTTTTTAATAATGTAGAATGATTATAAAGTAATATATGTTCAAAATATTTCTTAATTTATTAAGAACATATATATATCTTACAGATCTTATAGACGCGACTTCACGAACTTATAGAGAACAATATTGTTGTTCTCACTCAATGAATAAACCCGATCTCGGAATCTCCCAATTTTGTCCCACAATAAGCTTCTCATAAATACAAATTTATATTTCTGCATGCATATCATAATCTTACAATATTACAGGGCAGTACTTCATAGGGCAAGCATGAATGTAAATGTCAACTTTGCTCTATGGAACCAAAAAGATCTTTGTAAGAACGCTTAGGGGCATCAATGCGAGAAACAATCTCCACAACTTTGAAACATGATTCTGGAAGAGCAAAACACTTAACAGCAACCTCTGCAACTTGATCTCTGGATATGGTCCCTTCATAAACCGTATCCTAAATAAAAAGCAACAAAATGTTATCAGACAAAGATATATTTGAAGAAAAGAAGAGTCACAGCAAAGATGGGATGCTACAAGAGGAAAAATGAAAAAAAGTCGGAAAAAAATCGAAATCTCATGGAATATGAGCTTTACCTCTGGTTCCATAACAACATTTCCGGCCGGCGGATCATTTCTCAACCCGCCAGGCCTTATGATTGTGTTGTTAATCCCTGATTTCCTGATGTACTGCTCAGCCTGAAGTTTAGCTACCAAGGTCAGTCCGAAAACATTGAGAAAGATATAAGCGGGATTAAAAAGCTGTCCCATTGCATCTCCGTTGACCAATATCGAGCTAATAAGAATGAATCGGTTCACGCTAAGTTTTCGGCATGCTTCAACGAGGTTTACTGTACCAAAGTTATCAACCTGCACAACATTATAAAACTTTACAAAATCAAAACAAAGGATGCCAACACAAAGTAATGCTTGTTATAACACTATCAGGCAGTAAGAGGAAACATGGATTGAGGTACTGATTGGGACAATCAAATGGAAATACATAATAGAATCATAATTGATCATTGACTGCACATCCATGTACATGTAATCTGTGGGTGTTCTTAGCGGCTGAAAAATGGAAGAAAGTGGTCAAAGGCTGCCAGAGATAGACATAGAGGACTCCACCCCAAAGACCTAACTCTGATGCTCCTTAAATGCATACAACATACTCAAGCCTAGAGAAATCATCAGAATACAAGCTTGAGGAACTACGGAAGCTATGGTCCAGTAAACTTGGTTAATCTAAACTCGAAAAACATTAATGCAACTCGATGGCTAGAACAAATCAGGCCAAGGTGTTAATTCACCACAGCATCTAAAGAGGTGAGTGCTTCAATTCATGAAAGAAATCATATGAGAAATGCATACACGGATTTTATGAAAAACAATCAACAAACAAGTGAATCATTATGAAACTCCATTTTAAAGCACGAAATTTGGAAAAGAAAACAAAAAGAAAGCAGCAGGTATATGGATATATGTTAACTAGTTATTCTAACTTGAGTATCGGATACGTATGTATTCAAATTTTCCAAGTTCTCTATATAATTTTCTAAGTTCAAAGAAATCTGACCCTCCATGGTGCAGTTAAGTCCCATCCTGGTCGGAATCCAGTGGCACATATTACAGCATCTGAATCATCACCAATCGCTTCTGCTAGCTTCGTTGAACTCTCAGTGACATCTGCTTGCACCTGAAAATCCAGCCATTAACATTTCAAAAACCAAAATAAAATCTAGGTTGTAATGTGTTTGAATTCATGACAATTTGAAGAGAAGGGGTGTCGATTGAAAGCGAAGTTTTAGCCTTTTCCAAATCACGAACCCCAGCTTTGACTGAAAATCCCTTTGAAAGTAGCTGTTCAACAACCCTTTTCCCAGTATTTCCCGTTGCTCCTGCCACAAATATTTTCTTCTTTACACTCACGTTTGTCTCTTCGCTTTCAGAAACTTCCTCTGTTATTTCACTCCCGCCGATCTAAAGAAGCCATTAAAAGAAAATTCAATAATAAGTAGATTTTTTTTTATTTTAAAAAAGGAAGCTTGATATGGGTTATGGGTTACCTTTGCAGAAGTTAGAGGCCTGATTGTAATGGTGGAGAGAAATGAAGGGAAAGATTTGGGAAAAGAGAGAAGGGAATCGTGGAGCTGAGGAAATGGAGAGTTTCTGAGAAAGAGAGTAGCCATTGATTTGTTTCAAGTGAAAATTAAAGAGAGAAATGGCGACTGAGGCCACATCTGCCACAATTTTTGTTCTCATCTTTGCTCAGACGAAGGAGAGTTTTGGTTTCGCCATCTGGCAAGTTCTCTTTTTATTTTGCTTTTAGTAGGAGTATGCAATTTTGGTTCTTTCTCATTTTGGTCACTAAAAATATTTATTTATTTAGAATCTGCCCCCAAAAAATCACTAAAAACACTTTATTTTCCCATATATCCCCAAAACTAGGCTTATATAACATTTTGATCCTGTTAAATTTGACAAAAATCAAGTAAATGTCGGAGTTTGATATCTTAATTGAAGTAAGTTATGTAATTACTGAACAATATGAACCGAAATTAAATAAAAATTTTGTATATATACTATTTATATTTTTTGTTGGGCACATTATTTTCAAACTTGATATTATATGTAAAAACAACTTCTTTTAGTTGGTAATATAAGCATATTCTTAACTTATAGAATTATCCTGAACAAATAATTCATAATTTGTTACATTGTCTAAAGTTCAAATAGAGAGATAGATTATCTTGGCTATCAGAGTATTTTGACTCCCGATGTAATACCCAAAATTTTTGTTACTTACTAAAATAAATAAATTGAAAGTTTAATGATTAAATTGTAAATTTGAAAAAGGTTTAGGGATCAAAATGATAATTTTTCCAAAATAGGTATTTTTATCTAATGAATGAATAGTTTACCCTAATAATGATGTCGTGGGATCGAGTCTCATAGAGGGCATTTCATAATTCAGAGGTCTCCTACGGAAGCTGCTCTCAATCTAGTGTTGGGGGCAGCCTACTATCTTACCTCCCCCTTACCCCATTACATATGGGAACAAGGGACATCCATTTTTTTTGGTGTTACTCATTTTTTGTACTAATTTTATATTAAAAATTATATAGTGTTAAAGTTTGAGGAAAAAATTAGTTATTAGGATCGAATAAAAATCAGGATATTTTACTAGGAGATAGAGCTAGGGCGAAAATCTCTTTTCCATGCTTTAAAAGGATAAGATTTAATATGGAAAATTGAATTTAAGTTAATTTTCCATGTTAAAACTAAGTTGTTGAATGAAAAATTGTAAGATTATAATTATGGAATTTTACAAGGGCAAAGTTGGTAACTACGAACTCCATAGATTAATATTAGCCTTTGGATGAAAATTTTGACATGTGAAACATTTAGGAGCATTGAATCTCAAGGGTAAAATGATCATTTCACATTAAAATGAATTTTAAATTCATTTTATGTTATATAAGTAAAAAAAGGTCTAAAAGAAAAAGAAATTCAAAAAGATTCTTGTATTTCCTTGTTGCTTCCGTCAGACTCCTAACACAATAAGGTAAATTTCAAATTGATATTCTAGGTTTTTGGTTTAGATTTAAGGTTTAGACATGAAAATTAAATTTTGGTCTCCAATAAATTCTCATTTTGGTACCATTAATCAATGGTTTTGATTGGTATATACTATGAAATTTAAGAGAAGAAAGTTTAGTGTTTATGGATTTAATTTAATTAAGGCTTGCTTTTGAAGGATTAGATGATTATATAGTTTCTTATGTTTGAATCAATATAATTTTTATGTGTAAGTTGATATATTATATTCGGCCATAAGGAAGACAATTTGAGAAAATTTATTCAAGCATGTTTTGATGTTTATCATGGAGGATTAAATGTTGCACAAGCTTTAGAATGATGTTTGAAGAAAATATATCAGTTGTGAACACACAATGGTATATTCAACGATTAGGGTTTTTAATTGGGGGTTTAGGATTTTGATGAAATTGAAGTATTTTAAATTGATTGTATATGTATTAGATTTGAGTGCAAGGGTAACTCGGGTCTGTAGGTAGTTCCTATTGAAGATCCAAGGGATTAAGCTTTTAGTAAACTTATTGGAATTATCTTTTTAAAGGTTTGAAGTGATTCTAGGTATGGATTGGTTAACTACTTGCCATACCATTGTGGATTATCACTTAAAGCGATAAATGTTGAAAAAACTTGGAGGTTTAGAAATTATAATAGTTGGCGAGAGAACAAATCCTTTTGTCTAGCGTGACCACGATAGTAAATATTAAGAAATTATTGCTACAAGGATGTTAAATTTATCTAGCTCATGTAATTGATATTAAGTCTGAAAAGTAAAGTTGGAAAGTATCCCAACTGTTTATGAGTATCTAGATGTCTTTCTCGATGAATTTCTTAGATTACTAACAGATAGAGAAGTAAAATTTGGAATCGACGTTTTACCAAGTAATGTGTTAATATCCATGGTTTCGTATAAGAAATGTTTCGTATAAGAATGGCTTCTACCAAACTCAGAGAATTAAAATCATAATTATAAGAACTGCTAGATTGAGGCTTCATAAGATCAAGTGAATCATTTTGAGGAGCCTCAATATTATTTGTGAAAAAGAAGGATATACCATTTATTTGGATTGAAAATGTCAAGAAAGTTTCGAAATATTGAAGAAGATATGACAGAAACTCTTATGTTAGTACAACCTGAATAGAAAAAAGATTATACAATTTACAATGATATGTCCTATAATGGTTTGGGATATGTACTAATGCAAGAAGAGAAAGTTGTGGCATATGCTTCAAGGTAACTCAAAACTCATGAGAGCAACTACTCGACTCATGACCTCAGATTGGAAATGGTTGTATTTGTTTTGAAAATATGGTGTCATTGCTTATATGATGAACGATGTTGTATTTTAAATGACCATAAAAGTTTGAAATATTTAATTCAAAAGGAGCTTAACTTGAGACATAAAAGGTGGATAAAACTTCTCAAAGTTTATGATGTGATTATTGATTTCCATTTAAGAAAGGTTAATGTTGTAGCTGATGCACTAAGTCAAAGGATATTCTCTACTTTACGAGCCTTGAATGCACTGTTGTCAATGATAGGCGATGGTGCATTGGTTGTAAAATTAAGGTAAAAATCTAATGTAAAGCTCTTAGACTGATACGAGTGACCCGGTCCGATTTGAGGTGTCACATTAGGGTCACTAGAGTGACCCACACTAAAAGTCTAGTAAAATTTAAAATTTTATCAAACCATTTAAAAACATAAAATAATTTATAAATAAATTGTACAACTCTAGAAAATCATACATATATTAAAAATAGAGTCCATTAATATTCAATATCAAAACAAGTTACCGACTCTCATATACAAACAAAATGTGACCTATATGCACCCTAATTACATCTGTACCATACTCTACAAGCAACGCCGAAGGAACTTCCATCTATGATGTCAATACAGTGCAAAATCAATTATTTAACATGGAATGATATGTAATAGAGTGAGCATTGGGAAGCTCAGTAATACAATACTATCAAAAGATGCTAAAGGTCAAGATGATATATGGTGCAACACAAAGTTTTCCTCAGTTATCCAGGTATATACAGGTCATAGCGATGAGTTGAGGTCTCTTTAGTTAATTCTTCAGGTAACAGTCAGGAAGCTTACAATTCAGAGGAAACGTTCAAAGAGACAAATTTAGAAGATTGAAATAGGGGTGTCTAGTGTGTTCCCACGAAACCAGAATAAATGTAACCATAGTTTAAAAACAGTCATAGTTTATTTCAGTAAAACATATTTTTAAAAGTCAATGTAATACCCTCCACCTGAACCCCGATATACAATTCCCTAGGACTACATCCATAAAGACTTACCCTAGGCCCATTAGGCATAGGAGCCAACTTAAGGGAGCACCTTGGGTCCGTAAGGAGTTACCTTAGCCAAAGCATAGGAGCCACCTTGTAACCCCCTAAATCCGTCCTAGAGGAAAATTAGGTCAAATCTCAAAAGCCACATTAAAACTTCTCCCTCACGAAGCCGATTAGAATTTTGAAACTATAAAATAATCATTTAATGCTAGAAAATATTCAAAAATCCAAAACGAATAAATATTATTAAATAAAAAATTAAATAAAATCCAGTATGTCAAATAAGTATTAAAACATTATTAACAGTCCAAAATAATAAATTAATGTCCAATGTCCCAAAATGTGTAAACTAAACAAGTATTTTTCGAATAAAATTCTCACAAAGTAATAATCATAAAGTCCGAGAAAATGCATACTATGTAGATAATGAAAACGAGAAAATGTCAAACTCCAAGTACCGATTCAACTAGCTCAAATATCTAAAATAAAAAACTAAGGGGAAGTAAGCAACGAGGCTTAGTGTGTCTCTAAAGTGAAAACATAAACAAGTACAAGTATAGTTCGAAGCATTCACATATTTATATTCATACACCAAATCATCAAAAATAATGTTAGTTTAAATGTTATGCAAATGTTCATGCACCCACCCGTACTCCAATCTCACATAGAAGAATGGGTTCCCCATACACCATATAAGTGGAATCCACCACAAAGGTAGAGGCCACTGAATCTAAAAAATGTGTCATTCACCCCGTTGAGTGAATGAATTGAACTTCCCTATCAAAATTCATCCCAATATGTTATGCAAATGGCACACATATTCGAGATCTGATCTGATTCGAATAACACAAATCCAAATATAATATACTTGAATATCATTTATCTGATTCTGATCAAATCTGAATGAGAGTACAATTACTATATCCCAATGTAATACCCCAAATTTTGAATTAAGGACTTTATTGAAATAATTTAAAAATTAAGAGGATTTATTCGATTAAATGATAAAGATGAGAATGATTTGGACTAATGGTTTAGACTAAATTGGGACAATGGATTATTAAGAGGGAATTTTGGTCCTTTACAAGAGAATGAATTTAAAATTATTAGTTAGTAAAGTATTAAATTTAGGGGAAAAGGGAAAGTAAACACAAAAGACCCATTTCCTTTTCTTTTTTTTTTTCACGTGGGTGAAGTCTTCTCTATAGCTCCAAAGGTAAGTTGCAATTATTTGGTTTTTCCTTTTGATTGTGAGTTGTTTTTACAACCTTAAGTGATATGAAAGATTCAAGAAGGATAAATTGAAATTGAAACCATGGAATGAATAAAATATTAGAGATTTTAGAAA